GTTTGGGTTATCAGGTGGGCCTAACTAGAAATCACAGGGCCCCATACAAAATTTTTCTATGGGGCCCTGTGATTTCTAGCTACGCCCCTGAACCATTGTATTTCCAGGGGCTCTGCTTTCAGATAATATATAATTTGGGGGGGTGGGAGGGGGGGCTGCAAGCAATGTTCAGAACCAAAATGTGCATTTTAACGTGTGCAAAAAACTTCAAAACCGCCTGTGTCAGCGTAAGGGTTAAAGAAAAACCAATCGTGATATTGGTCGCCACAGGTCTGGCACTGGGTGATGTGTCACTGATCAGCTCCTATCTACTTTATATTTTAAGGAAACAATCAAAGACATTATTTTATAGATTTTCCCTGCAGGCTTCTTACATCACCTCTCGCCCCCGGCCGTCACTACTCCGTCTAGCAGTGTATGCAATTAAGCACTGCCTTGCTGAACAATTACAGCAGAATGCAAAACTCACCCCTAACCATGAAGATTTAGAATTACATGACCCTGAGTGGAGTCATGAGGAACCAGCTTGGAGCCCACCCTTGTGGTGACTAATTATTGTCATAATTGGCAGCAGCACTGTTTTTTTTGTTTGTTTTCTGGAAAGCATTTGATTGAGAATGTGGGCTCACACTGGTTATCTTTATGTGCCTTTATATACAGTCTTCGGGCTATTTAAATCCATCAAAACATACATTTACCAGAATCCCGTAAAATGTTATTTTCCTTAGGGGTGGCAATATATTTTAGCAAAACTGACTGGAAGAAACAAAATAAACATATTTTTAATTATAGATCTTGGTAAAATGAATCTTCCAAATCTTTGACAGTTTTCAATATTACTAAATTAAATATCGTATTTTTCCAAAAAAAGAAAAAGGTAACTCTTGTAATGAAAGACGGATAGGATGTACATAAGTATGATGTCAAGCAAGTACTGTATATTTGCCTAGAATAGGATATATCCCTAAGACGTGTCTTGTACCAAAACCTTAATCCCAACTTTAATTATACTGAAATATTCAGCAGAGCTTTGGCGAGTACATAGAACTATTCTTATTCGAGGTAGCCTTGCTGGAGCTTGCAGTACAGTATAACATCCCCACCTCAGTCATACATCTACACACTTACAATTATTAGGGCCAGTAAGGTCACATGTCAATTTGCTTGTGGGTTGAAAAGGGAATTGGGGTTCAAGAGGGAAGCACACATGGTGTCATTTGAATAGTAGTGCAGGGAGCCTGAAGCAGCCATTTCATTACTTCTCTTTTCATCCTAGCAAGACCATATCTTTAAAGCCAAACGGAACCTTCAGTTTAAAGTGACCCTAAACTCTGGCGTTAAACCTTAAAAATACATTTAAGTACTTTAAACCTTTACCCATATCTTTAAAATAACAGCAGACGCACCTTTAGAAATGTTTAGTAATGACAACCTACAAACAGATACTTCTAGATAATTTGCAGGCTTTGTATTCGTTGCATATCTTATTTCTTTTTTCTTCCCCAGTCTTCTCACAGTGGCCATGTTAACGAAGGGCAGATTACTAGCTCTCCCTTTACTTCCTGAAAATCTGGCACATGTGACTAGGACATGTGACCAGGACATGTGACCATGCACATCATCTCAGGGGAGGAAATGCCTTTCCCTGAGATCTTGTGAGATTACAGATGAGATTTCCCAGCAGTGCTGATGTAACCTTCCCAGGATGCAATGCTTTTGCACTTACATCATTTGTGCCAAAACTGGACCAGGAAGTAGATGAACTCTATATGTAAGTAAATGAAAACCAAGTTTGTTTAATAAAAGTGAGATGATTTTAAATCGGCATGTAGAGAGGCATGCTGATGTGATTTTTAGTAAAAGGGAGTAAAGGTCCGCTTTAACTATCAACAAAAATTTATCTTATTTGTGTATCACTCGACTGTAGAACCTCAAATCATCTCTGAATTGGTGCTGACACTGTCCTTCCTTCTGGAGGGGGGCTACTTTTGTTCCCCATGGTCCTTGTGTGTTGTAAAGTAGCCACCTCTCCATGATCATTTGGGTGTTTTGCGGTGCAGTTCATTCCTAATGGCACCCCAAAGCATATTAAAATCAAAAGATTTTTAAGCTATTCAAAATTTTAAGTTTCTGCAGAATCAGCTGATCCCCTTAGCACTGGTCCTGACTTCCTGTTTTAAAATGAATCATTTCTCAAGCAAAGTGCCATGCAGTCACCCTTGTGTATGCTAGTAAGCTATGTGTGTCTCAGACCCTTGATCTTGTCCTGGACAGGAAGTTCAGGGAAGCTGAGACGAGAGACTTGGAAGCAGCTGTTCAGACACATGATTACTGTAAGTGCTTGGGCAAAAATGTAAAGAAATACTTTGCTGGGCAATGTATATTTGCTTGATCTGCATTCATTACATTAATTTGAAAAAAAGACTGACCATTTAATAGTACTTTAACAAAGCATGGCACCATGCCTTTCAAAAAAAATGTAAATGCACCCTTTTATCAATATTCAAAGTTTTATTAAACAATCACAAACAAAAATAGCCATACAAATCCATCTATACAATATTAACATTACATATGCCCATGCACATAGCATCAATGAATGCACCCTCTTTTGGTGCATTTTCATACGTTTGGGAGCTCATACAAATAATAGGCTCCCCTCACACACGTCAACACTATTTGTGATAATGCACCAAGACTTTGCGCACCTTTTGTTTTGATGCACCTGGAATGTATTTAGCTAATCTAAAAGTTCAATTGGGCTTTAGGTTAACATTTTAGTTTTCTTTCATTTAAAACTGATTGTTTGAGATGCATACAGTATGTAACTAGTGATGAGCCGAACACCCCCGTGTTCGGTTCTAACTCGAACTTTCGAACATGGAAAAAGTTCTAACTCGAACTTAGAACTCAATGCAAGTCTATGGGGGTAGAACTCAGAAAATTAAAGGTCCCCATTTTGAAGCCTTATATGCAATTTATTGGCCATAAAAAGTGTATGGGGATCCGGGTAGTGCCCTGAATGACAGGAATCAATGAAATTTAAAACAAAAAAAACCTAAAAAAATATTTTTTAAAGGAACAGTGATTTTTACATGATTTACAGGGTAAGAGTAAAAATGAAAAATTCCTTCAAATATCGTGCCTTGGGGGTCCCCATAACCTGCCGGTGAAGTGGTGGATCTGTAGGATGTATAGAACCTGCTGCACTGCTGCAGCAAAAAGTGACATTTAAAAAGAAAAACAACTTTTGGCCTGCAGGTAGGTTGCTGCAGGCGGTCAGGTGCAGGACTGTAGCCAATTACCGTTGCGGACGGCGCAGTGCATTGTGGGATGTCCCGCGGTCGAACAAACCGCGGACATCCCATAATGTTCGGTGTTCGGCGAACGCTCGAACGTGCTATGTTCGAGTCGAACATAGGTTCGACTCGAACGCGAAGCTCATCCCTATATGTAACTTCAGGTACCATATTTATAACCTGCATTGTATGAGGTTCACGTTGTATTAGACCTTTAATATTTTTTTTTTTTAAAAGATGTATTTTCTATGGAATGCCAGGACCCGGATGAAATAAAGTTGAATAATCTCTTAGTATTAGGAGTTCTGCGCTGCTTGTCCCTCATTGTCTGATCTTTACCTAGTTGGATACAAATAATTCCTTGTTGGAGCTAGGGGAAGAGAGGTGTAAAGAAGTGTCTTAACAGGGTTGGAGCAAGTCAAAGTTCTTTTCCTGGTATATTGTTAATCACACTGAGATAAAATACTTACAAAGTTTTATACCGTCTGTAACTTTTCTCATCTAAACCCATGCGGACTAACTAAAATAATCTCAGGCTTTCCTCTCATATCTTTGAAAAGCAGCACAGAGCTAGTCTCTTCTTATCTAAACTCATGGACAAGGAGGCAAAGTCAACTCTGTGTAAGTTGGTATCCAGTCAGCAGTAATTGCACAGTTAACAACTGTCATGATGAGTAAGATTAAAGCTGAACTCGAGGATAAGCAAATATTGTCCTCATACAAGAGCCCTGTGTATTCTTCCTGGAATCTTGGTGGGCTTTGTGTATTTCCTCCAGATCTATGCAGTAATCCAGTGTGAAATTTGGAGCTTCCTGTCATTAAGACCAGTCACTGCTGCTTTCTTTTTGTGCAGGGTGACTGGTCTTGTCTCCGCCCCCTCCTATAGTTTTTTGTAGGCCGCCTGTAGTGGGTGGAGCCTGCTTGGTCCCTCCCACAACTTGCTCCCTGCCGGCTCACTTTGTTTTGGGGTGGGAGGTCAATGGAACTGCAGCCACACCTCACCACTGCCCCCCCCCCGGCCCGCAGTGCAATCGCCAGCACCCAAATGCGTGGCACATTAGTGCCTGCGTTCTGGTCCAGTGCGATCTGCAACAATGCTGCTACTTTTTGCAGATCGCACTGGACCGGAACGCAGGCACTAATGTGCACTGCACACTCCCACCCCCAAAACAAAGTGAGCCGGCTGGGTTGAATTCCAGTGCGTTCCAGAGGCCGAACGTTCTGGAACACACTCTTTATGGTGTGACTGGGCCCTCAAGGTTGATTTATATGCATTGTGGCTATTGAGGAATATACAGTATTTAAATGAAAGTTCTTGTGCCTGTAAGATTGACCTCATATGTGTGTATACGTGATCGTTATTTGCTGGCATCTTTTCCCCCCTAAAGTGCCTTGTAATTGGATCCATCACATTTTTTGAGTATTGATGTGAACATTAATCTGAACAATAATAAACAGTCATTGCTGGAGCGTAAACATATAGACATGAAATGCCTGTAAAAAAGCTGTTGGAGAACAGCAGCACTGAGATGCAGACAAGAGAAAAGAAGGCATAAACAGTGTATTTTCCAAAAAGAAAAAAAAACATTTAAATGCCATCCAGTTATGGTTAGAATGTAGTTTAGTTTTGTGTATTGAGGGGAATGAAGGTTTGGTACCAAATAAAACCTGCGTACCAGTTATTTTTTGTTTTTTTTGCAGGCCACCAAAGCTCACATTAAACTAAACACCAAGAAACTGTACCAGGCAGATGGATACTCTGTAAAGGAGCTGCTGAAGGTGACCACCATCTTGTACAATGCCATGAAAACCAAAGGGATTGACACTATCCAGACTGGGGAGGAAGACATGTCCACATTCAAGTTTGACCTGGGAAATAAGGCCAGTATTTTTTTCCTGCTTGTCTCTTGTTCTTTTACCGTGCTTTTACCATTTTCCGTGAGTTGATTTATTGGCTATCTAGGCTACCACTTGTCTACTTGAAGTTCCTACACACCATTGTGGTTAATTTCTCTGTACTGAATAGGTCCTCATGAAATATATACGCAGTTCTAATGCAAATTATTCAACTTCCATTGCAAATCAGGTTTATTGGCAACATTTACAGACTTTCAGCTGTTTGCAATGAACAAATCAAACAAAAACATTTGATATAGATCAACACTACAAATGTTTCAAGTAGGGATGCACTGATACCGCTGCTAGTATAGGTGCCGATACCGAGTATTTGGGCGAGTACTAGTACTCGCCCAAATGTTTTGATACTTACCCCGATACCGGAACTTCTGGACAGAGGGAGATTTCCTCTGAGCGGCAGTGCCGCGAGTGCCGGCCAATCAAGAAGCCGGGCGGTGGGTAATGACTAGCCGCCCAGCTTCCTGATTGGCTAGGGAACCGGCTCCATGCTGTTTGGCCGGCTCCATTCTGATTGGCCGGGAAGCTGAGGGCCAGCTTCCTGGCCAATCAGGAAGCGAGGCAGTGGGTAATGATCTGGCTTCCTGATTGGGTTGGAAAACAACGTGATGCTGATCGGCTGGGAGCTGTTGTTATATCACTTTCGAACACTGGCAACCTGTGAAGCTCTGGTGAACTCCATGCCCAAGAGGGTTAAGGCAGTGCTGGAAAATAATGGCGGCCACACAAAATATTGTCACTTTGGGCCCAATTTGGAAATTTTCACCTAGGGGTGCACTCACTTTTGTTGCCAGCGGTTTAGACATTAATGGCTGTTTGTTGAGTTATTTTGAGGGGAAGGCAAATGTACACTGATATACAAGCTGCACACTCACTACTTTACATTGTAGCAAAGTGTCATTGCTTCTGTGTCGTCACATGACATGATATAATAAAATATTTACAAAAATGTGAGGGGTGTACTCACTTCCGTGAGATACTGTAAGTATATACAACAGTTGCGAGTTATCAGATTGTCTTGTGACACACAGGGATTTTAGACTTAATTGGTGCACTTCACAATCAATAGTCAATCTATTGTAGTGGTGGTTTTTCTCCCCCACACACACTGCAGGTAATCACTGTAATTAGACTTTCCAATCTTCCTGTTCTGTTATCATTACATACCAACCTGGAAGAAAGTTAGTTAAGGTTATCCTATTGCACATAACGTTCCAGTGTCATGAGAATTGCAGTCCATGACAGCAGTGTAGTCACACTTATCTCTATGTGTCACTTTTTTTCTGCAGATCACAGACCTGAAGATAGCCAGGCAGCTTGCATCTGAAATCACTTCCAAAGGAGCATCACTATATGATATCTTAGGCAAGGAGGCTGATCTCCGAGTAAGTGTTGTATAGCATGATAATGAATGGTTTATATGGCACCGATATCTCCTGTTTGTACTGTAAAAGTCAATGTTAAACACAAAGATAAGTAACTACTAGTACACAAGGAAAATGAGAAAAAGTACATATAGCTGCACAGCAATATGTATGCAATGAAGAGGACATATAATCCGTAGGAGAAAAGGTAGAAAGGTAAGCGGTTGAATATAAGGTAAGGGAAATGTGTAGTGGTTTTCTATACATTTTTTTCTTTCTTTAAAATATTTAGGATTTAAAATTAGAAATGTAAAATGTATTTTTAATTTTTTATGGTAATTATGAAGTATTGCATATGAATAATATGTATGCTTATAGCCAATCGGCAGGTGGAGCTTGGGGCTCCTTTTCACACTATTTCCAGTTTTACTGACCTCCTGTTGCAAGCAAACTGATATCTACAGCACTCAATAGCTCAAGTTGAAATCTAAAGCTGGCCATACACTATGCAAATTTTAGCTGGTTGTTGAGGAAGGAGCCACAATTCACACGGTGAGTGCCGCTGTCTGCACACTTTTAGCAGGCATCCCTCGATCAGCTAATCAAAGGAGCCGGTTGGAAAATCTTCTAATGAACAGAGGCGGCAGCTAATCAGCTGCTAGCTTTGTTTGGGTATTGTGACAGCAGCCACTGTCAGAATGCAATTAAGACAGCGGGAGATTCCTCAATCAACTCCCGTAAGCATTGATGGAAGAATCTATTAGACTTTCTTTGTTCAGCCCGCAGGTTGGATGATTAAAATATTAGTGTATAGGCAGCTTAAAAGAAAACATGAATGAGTCAGTGCAATTGCTCCTTCCCTACCCTATCTGCCTGTTCAAGCTCTATTCAGAAATGTAAAAGAGAGAGAGAATATGCATGCAACCAGCTACTGATGTGCTCAATCTTAAAGAGACCCATAATGATCTATGAATTATGTGAAAGCTTTTATGTACATTAAAAAAAAAGGTGTATGATTTTTTTTCCCTTTTCATAAGCTTTATTATTTTCCAAATTATATAACATACAACATTTATGCAAAAATAAATAACAGAAAATTAAAAAAAAAAAAACATAATTATACCATTAATATGCCAAAGGTGTATGATTTCAGTTAAATAAAAATCTAATGGCCAGACATAACTGGGAAATTATATTTAAAGTAAACCTTTCTTAAGAGAAATATAGGTGCAGTCATGGCTGCTGCCAAGCTCCTATGCTGCCCCCTTGGCTTCATCACTTTCTAAGTCCCTGACTTGGAACAAGCATGCAGATCAGGCCAGTTAGTCAAACAGTCAGAAGTGCTTATCTGCATTGTTGTTCTGGGTTAATGGCTAAAAGTATAGAAGCCAATGGGTCAGCATGATAGCCGGACATCAAGCGTTTGCAGAATAAGTTAGCAGTGGTAGCCTCCATGCTTTTTTCAAGGAGGGTTTACTTTAACGTGACCCTGTCACTACAGACACTATTCAATCTTGCTTGTTGCACTCTTTACAGAATATCCGGTCTAATGGCTGGGGGGCGGGGTGCTCGCAGTCACTGCGGATGGGGCCGCCAGTATCAGCAAACGTGTATAGATGCCACCAGCTCACCAGAAATTCTTTCAGGATCATAAAATGTTCATTTATTGAAGATTCTTGTCATAAAACTTAAAAAATAAAAAGTTTTATGACAAGAATCTTCAATAAATGAAAATTTTGTTATCCTGAAAGGATTTTTGTTGTGCTGGTGACATCTATACACGTTTCTTGTCACTACAGAGTCACAATTTAAATAAGAATGTGCTGTAAAAGGAGAGCCTTTATACCTTTCCAGCTGCCTATGTGTTGAAATGCCGCCATGTTGTTCATCCTAGACAGTTGCCGATATTGGACACTTTGGGTGGGCCAAATATCTGCCCCTCTCACAACACACTATGGTTTGTCCCATCTGCTTGTACATCCAATAGTTGACGGGTGGTAGCTGGCGCGTGGTACCAAAGCGTTTGGTGGAAGTAGCAAGTATTCACACAACTGTGGCGGTATGTGTGGCGTTTCAACACATAGGCTGCTTGCTGGAAAGGTAAGTTTATAGCCTCTTCTTTTACACTGAGCTTATTTGACCCTGTAGTGAAAGGGTCATGTTCAGTTTAAGAAGAATAAGAGGTCATACAGGTAGATGTAAACCCTAGTTGAATGACATTTAGTTTACTGAAGCAGTATGTACTATACGGTTTTGCCATTTAAAAATAAAATAATATGCCGTTCTTTTACTTTTTTTTTTTCATCCTTGCATCTCAATGCTGCTGATATCCTGCCACCTTTCTGCAGCTACTTCCTGTCTACATGCACTCCAGTGATGATTGCATGGCATTGTTCAGGGTGGACTTCCTGATAGTGACAACAGTGGACCATACCTGCAAAATGTGTGTTGAAAGGACCACTTGTATTCACCATTGGTAGCCCATGTGACGGGGAGCTGGGAAAGAGCAGTGTCACCCTATACCTGGTAGTGTTGTAGCTAGGACCTTAATGGCAGAATGACATGGGATTATTTTATTGAAAGCTTGACAGCTTCAAAGATTGAAAATTACATCACAAGTGACCGCCTAATGGGCGGAAAAAAGCAATGAGGAACCTGCAAGATGTAGGGGAGAAGATGGCGGCGTTGGCATACAGAGCGGCGTGGGGCATATTTGATCTGTCATTGCTGGGGAAGGGAGGACTGTTACGCTTCAAGACCTTTTCAAAGAAATATCTGTGAAAATGTATAACATTCAGAGGAACAGGAATATAAATAGAACAGTGTGTGGAAAGCTTCAGTTGGGCTTTATACTTGCAACGTTGTCTGTTCAGAAGAGCAATTGCTATATTTCCTACAACGTGTAGGCATAGTCAACCCTTCTTGTATTTGTATTATTTAAAGGGAAAGTATAGTATAGTTTCAAAATGTACTCGTTAATTTTTTGATTTTTTTTCTGCAGAGGATCATGTCATATACACTGAGTGACCAGATTATTATGACCACCTGACATTTGTGGGCAAATTAGCTATAATTTGGCGCTGAAGTTGCTAGAGGGCCAGACCATTATAAATAGGGAAGCAGGTTGTTTACCACGACAGTAGAAGAGATTTTTTTCTGAAGAGGGTGAACAACACGATTTAACAGCCTTTGAACGTGGAATGATTGTTGGCGCTCGGAGCCATGGAGCGAGTATCAGCAAAACAGCAGAATTCGTTAAATGTTCAAGAGCAGCTGTTGTTGAAGTGTTTAAAGACTGGACTGTCAGCCGAAAATCTGGGTCTGAACGTGCGAATTGTGGCCGTCAGCGACTAGTCAATGTTAGGGCAGAACGGAGAGTGGCAAGACTGGTACAAGACAACAGAAGGGCAACAGTGCATCAAATTACTGCAGATCTTAATCGGGGATCCTCTCAAATGATCTCTGAACGCACTGTTCGCCGTACACTGCATCGTATGGGATATGGAAGCCAAAGGCCTGTTCGAACACCTTTGCTGTCTGCAGTTAACAAGATGAAACGTCTCCAATTCGCACAGGAACACAAGGATTGGACAGTTGAGCTTTGGAAAAAAGTATTGTGGTCCGATGAGTCACGTTTCCAGTTGCATCATGCAGATGGCAGAGTGAGAATTTGGCGGGAACATCATGAAAGCATGCACCCCACATGCATGAGTACAACCCTTCAAGCTGGTGGGGGCAGTGTTATGGTTTGGGGCATGTTTTCCTGGCATGATTTGGGCCCTGGAATTCGTGTGGAACAACGTCTGAATAGCACAACATACCAAAGTATCGTTGCTGATCAAGTTCATCCTATCTAACAATCAACAGTATAGCGCTAACAGCCTCACGGTATTACATCCAACCATGTGCATTCACAACCTAAACGGTATTATGTGAAAAATAAAATGTGTGAAACACTTTTGCAAGAGTGGAATTATTTACAACAAATATCACATATATCTAAAATCAAATGTGATAATAAAGTGATATCTCTTAGAAAATGTGAACAGTGAACTACTTGGTATGTTATAATCAAAATGTACAGACCATGTGTCCTCAAATAAATGAAACAAATGTCACAATATAACAAACAGTGAACCACTTTGTATAATATGATCGAAATGAATGATATACCATGTATCCTCACATGGAACTGTGAGTATACTATCACTATAACATGTGGCCGTGTATATCTCCTAGTAAAGACCAAACAGTGAATTTTATATAATATTAAATATAATACTCAAAATAGGTGATAAACGATATATCATCTAATATGTAGGTACAACCAATAATAAATATCATAAATTGGTGTTTCAAAAACCAGTGTAGAAAAATCTGTGAAAACGAAAACAACGAAAAAAATAAGTAAAAAAATGGTCTCTAGCAACCAAAGTGTTCAAATAGTGCGATCTCCCATTTTTCTTCCGACTATTCTAGATGATCCAAACAGTCAGGATTAGAAGAAGAGAAAGTATATCCCATTCAGTGATAATTCGTGTTGTAAAAGAAGGAGGCGCAGAAATCCCCTCTAGGGTATGTACTCACCGGACCGAAGATGTTTTCAGGCCGTGTACAGCACCAAGATGCAGGCAGTCCTTCCCCGTCCTCTTCCCACTGCTGACTTTCACAGGGTTTACTGCTGTCCCTATGAAACTTCCGTTCGAAGTCAGGAAAGAAAAGGCAGTACTTCCATAGTGTGGTAAATTAGGATAGTTTATTAGATTTAAAAAAAAAGGGCTTGAACAAATTTATTAAATATAAAACGAAATGCCGGCCGGTCAGTCTAAAACAGACTCAAACAGACTGAAGGTGTGATGTGACTGCAGGACTGTAGAAAGGTATCATGGCACACTTACAAACCAGCATGTAAAACAACTTGTCTCACCACTAAGTGACTGCAGGACTGCCCCCAACGCGTTTCATCACAGACGTTTTCAAGGGTTGGCAAGTCTGATGGCTTCTTCCAACAAGACAATGCGCCATGCCACGGTGCTTGTATTGTGCAGGAGTGGTTTCAAGAACATGAGGGAGAATTTACCTTGCTTAGTTGGCCCCCACAATCACCAGATCTCAATCCAATTGAGCATTTGTGGGACGAAGTTGAAAGAGCCATCAGGCAGCTGGTTCCACAACCATCAAATCTCACAGAACTGGACAGTGCTACTCATCAGGCATGGTGTCAGATTCCTCGCATCACCTTTCAACATCTCGTGGAGTCAATGCCAAGAAGAATCGCCGCAGTATTGAAGGCAAAAGGTGGCCCAATGAAGTACTGATGGGGTGGTCATAATAATCTGGCCACTCAGTGTATATACTATGAGGATACATGTTGCAATGTGGTGCAAAGGTTATCATGCAGCAACTAACATCAACTGATTATATCCAGTTTTTAGTATTTTAAAGCAGGCAGAATAATGAACTTTGACAGCGGCATTTATTGTCAGCTTTTGCATTAGGACATAGTTGACAAGCATTGATCCTAATTTTGATATGTAATGGAAATGAACAAGTCATCCATAGTTATAGATATAGATTTTGCATAGCGCAGTCTAGCAAACCCAAAATGGCTAGAAGAAGGGTTAACAATTGCTGTCTTTTATTACATTTCACGAAGCAGGTCAGCCACGCGCTTGTCGGTGATGCAAACGTGTATAATTAAATGGGTGAACCTGAGATTCCAGGCAATGCGCAGCCAAGGCACAAAAAGATAGCTGTGAAGCCAGTGTGTGCTCGTTACTCATGGTGGCTAATGAACTGAACGTGTGATGTATTGCCTTGCTCCTCGTCTCATGCACTCCTGAGCCCTTCACCCCCCTGTAGTGAGGGGTTTTAAATAGCCAGTGCATAGAGTTACGTCACAACAAGCAATCTCTGGTGAACTAAGAGGCTCGGACCAGAAGCCATATTACTGGGAAAGCGGCATGCTGTGGCCACATGATTTTATTATGTCACAATTGAGATTCTGATTTTACAAAGTTTTTCATAACTCCATGCAGTCATTGAAGGGCATAGTTAGTCATAGTGCCAATCAGAAGTCCCTCACTTTTCCAACAGGTGTACCACACAAAAAATACTGGTGATTCATACGTATGGAAGTATGCTTTAAATAGCAATCTCCAGGCAGCAAGTGAAAGCAATCAGTGAACTTATAATACTCTCCTGGAGACAGTGCAACTGCGCTAATTTCAGGAAGTCCATCATTTAGCCAGGATTTTCAATAATCCATTGCAACCAGATTTAGCTGATTACTCAAAGTGTTTTGTGTCCGGTGCTACTGCTAATTGTCACATAATTCTGTGCACTTTAGACTCCCACTTATGTTCCATTGTGTGCACAATGTTTCAGTGCGCTCAGAGAGGGGGGCGTTGTTGGGTGTAGCTGGGATCTCATTTGAGGAGTCCCTAAGAGTATAAAGAAACCAATTGATGATTTAAGCCAGGCACTTCTACCTAGAGATAAAATACATGTTTTTGGTATACTGGTGTATTACCTGCTAAAGGTTTTGTAATTCTAGTCAGGCCAGAGACTTCTCTATTCTCCACTGTGGTAAGTACTATACCCTGGTGATAGATCTGATCGAGCGGCTGTGCCGGCTTGGGCGGCTCCAGTGCTCACCAAGCCATCGGTCAGCAGTGTACTATGCAATGTACAGCTTTCCTTCATAAGACTTTATGGGGAAGTAGTCTTAACTGCAGGCTTTCAAGTTGATGGCTTCTTCATTAGGTCCTATTGAAAAACCACACAGAGAATTTCCACAGGAGCCCAATTCTGTGCTGATTTCAGGTAAGGCGGAGAGGCAGTAGAGTTAAAGAAGCTTTGCTAGAAAGTCTGCCTTTCAAAAGTTGTGATTCTCTAAGCATGTTTCAATAGGGAATGGCTGCTAACATGTACACACAACTCCCAAACTAGTGCTTGGAGACCCCTAGTCTGGATCTGCTGCACAATCTGCAAGCCAAGCTGGCAGAGTATGCTGGAATATCTAGTTCAAGGACACCTTCATTGCCTTCATATGATCTTATAGATAAACATATCCATAAAACAGCTGGAGAGCACAGCATGTCCAGGCCCGACCTAGATTAGTGCGTGGAATACATGTGCTTTCTCCATGTGTGACATAGTTTGGAAGTGGAAGAAGCTTCTCTCCCATTAGTATGGTTTGTTTGGTCTTTTAATAAATCTGCTCCAACATATGGATGAATGGGAATATCTCCGACACTCCTCTAATGAATCTTTTTATCCCACGGGTTTTGCTTTTCTTGACAGAAGCTTTCCATCTAATATTCTTCATAGAAACCCATTTATTACTTACGAGGACAAGTCATTCTTTTCCTTTCTGTGAACATGCATCACCGGTCCTGCCTCTCATGTACATGTTACTATTCAATGACAGCACTTTTTAAACCACTTCATTTAAAGGGAACCCATATTCCTTTTGAAGTTTCTTTTTTGAATGTATATCTGAATACAATCAGCTTAATGTGCAGTGCTCCTTCATGTCATGTCTACCTGCGGCATACCTAATGTGGTTCTTTTTTTTTTTTCCTTCCTGTTACTTGCAATTATCTTTTTCAGTTGCTTTTCATTATTCTTCACTTTACTTTACCTTTCAACCCCGTCTTATTTTTTAAACTTTTACTGGTGCACATTTGTAGCTAAATGACTGATAAGATCACCCTAATCCAAAAGGAAAAAAAAAAAAGTGACACCGTATATTATTTAAAAAAAAATGTAATTGTTTGATACGCAGTGCTTCCACAAATGAAATGTGACCCAGTTACATGTACTTTAATTATGAAATCAAAACCATAAACACGGTTTTAACATTTAAACCGGGCCTGATTGACATTGGAAAAAAAAATAGCAAAGGTCATTTTCAGAAAGTAGGTTGTCATATTAGCATTTCTCAGATCTGGGGATGTGACTGCCAGGTAGACAGGCCATCTGCTGGGCTCCCCTATTTGTCACTTTCTGAAAATAAACTCTGACAGCAGAAGAAAATCCATAAATCCTTTGGCCCCTTCCTCTTTTCCCAGAAGACCTTTTGAACTTATTTATGAAAACTAGAAAAATATACCAATAAGAAGAAGAAATTAAATATTTATATATGCATTGGAAGCATTCTGCAAGGGCAGACCACGAAATAGAAGGTACTTCCTGGCATCGTCAAGGACCCGCCTCCTGGGAACATTAAGGCTCCATTCACATATAGCGTTTGCGTTTCCTGGACAGTTTTCTGTGCGGGGCGAAAACGGTAAAATTTGAATCCACCCGGATTCCCCCCGTTTGCGGCTATTAAATATCGTGCTTGCACTAGTTTCGTACCTCGTGGTCCTTGCAATAGTCTGAACGATGCACATTAAAGTGCATTGTTTTCTCTGTTTAGAGCGGCTTTGCGCATATCCGTACAGTTGAATACGCACAGGCAGGCGCTCCTGTGTGAATGGAGCCTTAGCCACCCTGGACTCAGGGCAGAATGCAAAGAATGCTGAAGGGAACGGTGCCTCATCATTATGTGGTGCTGTTCTCTGTAGAATTTTTAAAACACACCCAGCGCCAAAGGGAGGAAGACCTGTGCTTTCAAGTGACCAGACTGAAAACCCCTTAAAAAAACATATGTATGCAGCTGTTTAGCTGGAATTGAGTGTTAAACTGACCCAGTGGACGGCTTAACTGCTGAAGGGCTCTAAAGTTCTACTTTTTTTTTTATATCCTGGCTCTCTGTCCAGATAAACCCATGTATGTTCATCCTCTAAAGGCCGCTGTGTTTACTGGTTCATTCTGCCATAATTAACTATACTTTTGAAACTACCAGCAGCGTCTTTCCAGAGGATTCATCCTGAGCCTGATGAAGGGGGACCCTGCGCGGCCCCGAAAGCGCTTGCCTTTGATTGACAATGTCTTGTCATTAAATGGACTGATTTTTACTTTACCCTTGGTGTGCTGGGGACATTCTTGAACTTTGTGTATGTTTTACATAGTTACATAGTAAGGTTGAATAAAGAACAAGTCCATCCAGTCCAACGTGTGTGTGTGTGTGTGTGTGTGTGTGTGTGTGTGTGTTTTTCCTGCTTTACAACTTCCCATACCCTGTAGATTCTGCAAGAGAACAAACTCGTCCAGTAGTTTCTTGAATTTGTCAATGTTATCCGCAGATGCCACCACCTGTGGGAGGGAATTCCAAACTTCCACCACTATCACAGTGAAATATCCCTTGCGAATTCTACGATTGATCCCCTTCTCTTCTAACCTCTTGTTGTGTTCCCGGGTTCTCAATACAGTTTTAGGTTTAAACAGTTTATTCCTAATATTGGGATGCCATCTGTAGTCATTGCAAGCACCCACCTGGACTCTACAAGTTATACTTTAAACCTGTAAGGAGTGCAGCAAGACGCATTTATACTTTTCCAGAGGATAGATCTGTTATGTAATTTCTCTGTCAACAGGGTGTTCGCTGCGTCCCAGATGTCAACCACAGACATCTCCAGTTTCTGTAATTCGCTGCTTGAGTGTCATCTTCCACATGACAATAAAGCGGTGGTGTTTTGACACCTCTCGCTGTGCCCCTGCAGCAAATCACTGCATTTCTGGAGATGCTTTGATTACGTTTGGCTTTATATTAATACATTGTAGGAAATATTACGCTTTCAATTTGTAAATGGCTTTTGGTAAAGTCATTCATAGACCTGGAATATTGTATAATGGTTTTTTTTCATACATGATTTCCCAGCAAGTAATTGCTGCATAATTATGGTTGAATAATGAGCCTTGCGGGGCGGTGACTTTTTCGGAGGCATTTTTGCACAGAGTTATGCTGTGATGTTAAATAATCATTCATTCAGAGTTAGAAAATTACCTATAAGTGTTTAACAACAAATGTTTGTATCCCTGCAGGAAATGAGGACGGCTGCCATTGCACGTCCCTTGGAAATCAATGAGACTGAGAAGGTGCTTCGGATGTCCATCAAAGAAGTCTTAGTAAGTAAATGTTAATATTTGATATATAAGCCTGATGGCTTAGCTGTAAGGATATTATGTAGCACGATGATCATAGATAGATTCACTGCCCGCCAGGGATGATTTCTGCACTGTGTTTGTATTTCCACCCCGTTTTTTTGCATGGGTTAGCTTCAGGTGATGATATAAATAAAGAGGAAACTGGTTTCCACACTATTGGCAAAAAGTACACAAAAAATTAAATTGTAAACTTATTGTACACTTTAAATTAGACCAAACTTGACTGCGAATAATATTAGGAAAAATAAACCTACATAAACCACCACCATTGAATTTAAAAATGTAAGCAACATTGCTCAGATATTTAAATTTAGTGTTGGTGGTCTATGTAGGTTTATTAATGTGAGTCTGAATTCAAAGATAATTATTTTTGGAAACCTCTATAAATGTTAAAGCCCAATGGAACTTTCTGTCTAAATTTGCTAAACACATTACAGGCATATGTAGGAAAAGTGTGCAGTCTTGCAATTTGTTTTCTTTGTAAAGCTGGCCATACACTGGTTGAATTTCAGCCGAGTCCTGCTTACTTGGCTGAAATCCAGCCGGTGTGCGGCCCAGTTGGCACTCCTCCATCCTTTTTTTTTTTTTTAATAAGCCAGTCTGAAAAATCTTGGCTGCTCGGTGACAGCAGGTCAATAGCCCAGCAGGGAAGATTCAGCGTGGATGGGGGAACCTTAGGGTATTTTCTCTATCCAATTAGGTGTCCCACGCTAAAATGAAACCTAAAATTACATTTAGGCACTTAAAGGAGAACTATGAGGTGAGTGGAAATCACTCAGCCTCATAGTTCGAGCCGACGTGTGACAATGAAACTGTCACACGTCGGCTCAATAGATTGGGAAGTGGGCGAACGCATACCATTGCTCGCTCACTTCTCGATCATCTCTCTGCAGAGAGCCGGGACTGTCATTCATGGCTCCCTGCAGGGATTCCCCTCCTCTCCGATCCTCCAGCACTGAGTGGAGGGAAGGGGGCGGGTACAGCTGGCTCTGCCTCTAGATAGGCAGAGCCCGCTGTCACTCACGCAGCTGGGTAGATCTCAACAGTAATGTCGGGATCTGTCCCGGCTGCGGCGGTCTCAGTATACCGCGAGCTGTAGCTTGCGATATACTGAGCTTTGGCTCTCGGGAGAACGCTAGTATATGTCCTCCCGTGACTCTTAAAAGAACTGTGGGGAAAAACACTTATCCCATAGCTCTCTTTTAAGCAGTTAATAAACACAAAGCTCACCATGAACATATCAAACTAAAAATAAAGTTCTTCACTGTTGTGCAATAACTTTTTAAATGTCCGCAATTCTTATGTGAAAAAGAACATAAACCACCCACAATTCATATGTATTATGCAATAAATATAGGCATAAATTGTAAAAATATACATCTCATAACCCCTCTATAAAAAGCTAAACATAACAAAGTATATGCCAACAGAGTAAATGCACATCAGTGCATGATCATTCACAACCAAGCAAATATGCCTATAAAGTGGAAAATGAAAAATTCAAGAATTGGCTATAAAGCAATTGAGATCGAAATCCACGTTCATGGCCCTGGGTTTCATTCATCACTATTGCTACATTATGGACATTTTTGGAGTTATTAACATTTATAGACTTCACTCCTGATCCATTTTCTATTCACTGACATTTGTTTGAGTTACTGATTATTGTTTTTTTGTATTGCTCATTGTGGTAGCTCGGCACATTTAGTTATTAATTTTTCACGTATACACACTCACAGTGAGTGTACAGTCTAGTGCCTTGTTGCTGTTAGTTTGCTTATTGGCACAGATAATTTTTTTATATATGCAATAAACTTACTCCAAAATGAGTGGGTGTGCTGCTAATTAGGAGAGGCAGTACGACAATATAGCCATTCATTTCTGTGAGTGAGTTGTACATCTTATGGTGCACACTCAGTGCACATTTTAATTGAAAGAAACTGGAGGACTATATTAAGAGATCCATTAATGGATGTAGGAGAGTATTCGTTTTGATCAGCCCCATGAAAAACCTATAGGTACATGCCCAGCCTAAAACCGCTGGGTTAACAGGACCATAAGCTGTCACATCATACTATGACAATTTGCTACCGCAGGATACTGTTGGAGCCTCCTTTAAAATCCTACTTCCATTTTGGTCAGAAAAGGCACAACAATGCTACATCCTACAACACAGCACTTCCTTCCAATCACCTGGCTGATCCAGCTTGGGGTTGGGAAAACGTTAGAGAATACAATCTAGAAGATATGTTGTCCGCACACCATTCTGCGTCAGAATATCATCTTTATTCAGATTCCTTTAGCATGAGATATGGATACTCCATATCTCATGCAAAAGGAATACGAATGAAGATGATATTTTGAAGCAGAATGGAGTGCAGATAACATATCTTCGAGATTGTATACTGTGGTGGCATCCACCTGTTGTTCCAGCACCCGTTGGATTCTGGGGTACATTGGTACCATGTGCGAATTGGATATTACTAAATCCTTTGAGAATACAGTTCTTTTCCTACTATGGAAAAGTCAGCATTTTTGCATGGAAACTTCAAGGGACTGATGGTGCTGTAGGGTCAGGCATTGTTACAGTAATTGTATGTTTCCAACCCTCACATTGTGTGCACCATCTATAAATAGTCCCATCAAGATTTGACAAATGAGTGCATATTGGTACTAAAAATAACTATTGCGTGGCTTCTTCTTCTGATGTCAGCAGCTTTTGAATTTTGTGTTCCGATTTTTATAAATTAGCCTCGTTGGGGCTCTAATACTGGCCCCCGTTTTGTGTTTTGCCAGTCACTTTATTAAATCATGACATAGATATTCCCATTTCCTTTACCAGACAGGTGGTAATATCTGCACATGCTTCCTGATTTTCCTCATTCCCTTTATTGTGTATTAAAAGCTCAAAAAATTATAAATATGCAGCCGGTCTAGTTTGATATCTTTAAATGTTTACCTAAGGCGACATTCGCACTTGAGCGTCAGCACCTTTTGATATTTTTTCTTGCACATTTCTGCATGTCTTGACTGGTTTTGTTTTAGCTAGTGGAAAGCCAGTCACTAAGAAGAAGAAGAGATGATTTTTAGGAACATAAAACGTGTGTTAACTTAAGAGATATTTATTACCTCTCACAGAGATCTCACAGTAGTCCCCCCTTGCAATACCAAATGGTAGTAAAAATGGGCAGTAATATGGAGCTGTTCTCCCCCCCCCCATTCCTTTTGCAGCTGTAACTGCCTTCACTCTTCTGAGCAGGCTTTTGAAAAGATTGTGGAGTGTGTCTGTGGAAAATTTGTGCACATTCAGTCAAAAGATCATTTGTGAAGTTCAGGTACTGATGTTGGAGAAAAAGACCTGCATTCCAAATCATCCCAAAGGTCTTCAACAGGGCTGAGGTCAGGGCTCGGTGTAGGCCGCTTGACTTCCTCCACACTAAATTCATCAAAGCATGGCTTTATTTACCATGCCTTGTGCACTGGGGCACAGTCATGCTAGAACAGAAAAAGGCCTTCACAAAACTTTTATCGCAAGGATGGAAGCATACGAGTGTCCAAAATGTGTTATGCTGTTAACAGTGGCCTTCACTGGAAACACCTAAACTCAATATTTTGGAGGAGTGTCCACATCGGTTTTGCCATATGGGTTGGTGTGATGGTCAGATGTCCACGAACTTGGCCATATAGTGTATTTCTGTGAAAGCAGCAGTTGTAAACCACCCAAATGAAACTCTACCTACACCCTTGTTACCTCGTACCCCTCCCATGTCCCGCAGTACTTCATTCCGGATAGCCCCTTGAGGAGTGGGTGTTGGAGTGACCATGGATGACGCCGCACTGATCAGAAGAGAAATCTGAGCCTGATGAAGGGGACCCTGCATGACCCCAAAACATTGCTTTCATTGGGACAATATGCGTCAATAAAAATATGCGTCAATAAAAATACACTTTACATCCATCGCAAGACAGTAGTCTTGCAATGGTTGTAAAGTAATTTAAAAAACGTACGATCTGCCCATCTTGGACAGGCAGATCGTACTTGCGACCATCGCAAGCACGCCCCCCTGAGGGGCGGGCTTCCGATGACCGCAATGCTGAACGGGCAGTGTGCGCGTGCGCACACCGGGCCGTGCGACATTGATCTTACGATCATGCTAAAAACCAGCCGAAAATCGTACGATACTCGGCTGGTTTTCTAGCATGCTCCTCAGACAAAAGACGTGCGACCGTACAGTAAAAACGGCCGCACGTCTTCCATACACTGTGCGATTATCGTACGATCGCGGGATTTCCCGCGATTATCGTGCGATAATCGCACAGTGTATGGGCACCTTTAGTCCTCTGAATAATTGAAGGAAATGCGGCTGTAAATGAATTTGCGTTGGTTAGTTTGACATGCAGTAGGGGAAAATGGATGGCAATCTGAGAGGATTTTCCTGTTCTATCTATTTATAAGTATCATATTTATTCCATGTTTCACAGGACATGTAGATAGACCGCGCTTACCAAGGCTGACAGGCACAGTTGTGCTCATTTGAGAGCACCAAGGGCGATGGGTAGAAGAAAGCTTTTTCATTGAGACCGGAGTTTGTTTGACCTTCCACCCTCGAAGTGCTATTTATTCACATCTCCAAAGATGTCTTTCAGATGTTCCATGGAGCAACAGCCAAAGTGTCCGAGATGGCTGCATCAGCATCTCCAGACATAAGACTGCCTATTAAAATAGGTCTTATACTCAAAATATAAATCTACTCCTTGGAGATTAAGGGTTTACATTATAGCAAGATATGCAGGGCGTGTGCGCGCAATTTTAAGGCTTGACATGTTTGGTGTCTATTTACCCGATGTGACCCGCGTCTTTTATGTTTTACCAACAATATGGGTAAGAATAAATATTTAAAAAAATAATGTAGGGAAAGCATTTTTTCCCATGCAATTTACAGTACTTTTTTAATTATATA